CTCATCTAGGGTTCCTTAGGTCAACGCCTTAGGTCAACGCCCCGACTGTACTTTTGATGTCCTGCGTTCTGGGCTGCGACGGGATCGAGGAAACCCTGAGGGGTGCTTTTTCCGAACGCGCTGCGTGGCGACTTTTTCCTTTTGTTTCTGACTTTTCTTCCCTCAGCATCGTTTACCCAGCCCCTATTTTCGTCCCCGTCCCGGTCCCCACCATCGCACCACGCGCCTCAGTTGGGGGCACCTACGCAGGACGAAGATATGCCTCTTGAGGTGAAACTGGCGATGGGGAGTTCGCGAGATAACTTCGGCGTCGCCGAACGGACGGCGCCTGGACGAGCTGCATGCAGCAACTGCGAGGAGAGAGCTGTATTCATGTTGAGTGGGGCCCGCGCGCGCGGAAAGTTAATGAGAGTGCGCGAGACAGCGCAGGATCCTCCTTGGGAAGTTGATGACAGAGCCCCCGTCCCCCGTAGGATCTTAGCACGGGCGTTTTCCGGGGCCCGTGGATCTGATGTCTTCCGTTTCCTTGTTCAACATTAAATAAATCTATACATTCAAAACGGGGTGTAAATAGGATCCGCCGTAACGGTGGGGACCGGACGCAGATCGAGAAAATCCGAATTCGGACCCGCGTGAACAGAAATTGGGCCCACCGAAACAGAAACCCAAACTAAAAATTGGAACCCGCGGTGGTTATCTCACACGCGTCTGCTCAAGACTTCTAACGGTCGTTCCGGGCCCAAGAGGAGAACAGTTTCGCCGTGGGGATGTAGGCTCTTCGAAACTCGAAGGGAACAGCCTTTTATCCCCATGCAGGGGGTAAATCGGCCAGAAAGGCCCAGGCCATGCCCGTGGGGATGGGGATCGGTTAGACACTGCTCCGTGACAAGTTTGTAACATCATTCTCTGGAGAATGCAATCCAGAGCGTTCTGGAACGCTTTATAGCGTTGTGGAGCGCTTTGACAAGGCTGCGGCGCACGCCAGACCCGCCAGATATAGAGATGTTCCATCTATGCTTGTCCGATTATATTGTCGTCTTGGCTCCGTCTTAGTGTGGGCGCCGAGAAAGACAGAAAAGCATGTGATCTGGACTCGGTGCGTGATTATTTTCCCCTTCGTTTCTGAGCCCCCTCTCTCAGCATCGTTTATCCTGCCCTGATCCCCATCCCCATCCCTGTCCCCAATATCCCACCACTCTAGTTAGGGATTTGCCCCTCGACACTCGAAGGGAACTGCCTATATCCCATCGGGGGGGTACATCGGCCAGAGGGGCCCAGGCCACGCCCGTGGCGTTTCAAATCGTTTCTGACCCCCTTTCCTTCGGAGGCCTAGAGGGACACCAACATCAATATCGGCCGAGGGGGGATGATCCTGGTCGCGCTGATGGTGGTAATACTTGGGCTTCTACTTGTCCGAAATAATACAACCATCGCAAATTTTCAGGATAACTTCCCCCCGGCGAAAAATCCATTTCCAGGCTTCCACTTCCAGGCTTCCAGTTCCCCTTTCGGGCGTGTCTTCTGGGGGCGTGGGCGCCGATAGAATCTGATCACCATGTGTTCTGGACGCGCTGCGTGCCACCCACCAGCCACGGGGGCTGGCCGCTCCCCCACCCCCCCAAAGCTGGTTACTTCCCGTTCTGGTGGCGCCCCCAGGGAGGAGTGCCCAGAACGGAGTGCCACCAGCTCGGGGGGGCCTCTGGGAACGGAGTTCTACGGAGCACCGGCGGTGGTGGCTTTTCTTCGGCCACGCGCAGACGGGGTAGTGGGAGGGGGGAAGGCTTCTGAGAAGCACCCCTGCTCCTTCGAAGGCGCGAGCCTTTCCTATGGGGGTAGGGCCAGCTCTTTCTGAGAAGCAGCCTCCTCCTAAGCAGCCTTCCCTTCTCCCCCTGCCCCCGCGCGCGCGCCGCCAACTTTTTATTAGGGGAACGAACAACGACACAGACACATAAAACAAACTCGGAGGTCCGTGCGGATTTCTCGGGTCGGCGCTGGCCCCCCCTCCCTGGCGCACGGATCGCGCCAGAGGGGGCGCCGGAGGCGCCGCCGGGGGGCCCCAGCGCGGATCCGAGAATCCCGCGCGGACCTCGGAGTTGTTGTGCCTATGCCGTTGCTTTTTCCCCTGTCTGCGCTCATGAGCGTGGCGACGTCTTCGGATCGTTTCGGGCCTCCCTCCCCCCCTGCTGCTGCAGCCCTGCGGCGGCCGCTCCGCCGCCCTTAGCGCGAAGGCCCCCCGCCGATGCACAGGCTGGCGGCGAGCCCTCTGCGCGCGCGCACCCCGCGCGGGCGGCCCGGCCGCGAGCGGCCCCGCGGGCTCTTTTTTTTTGGTGCTGTGCTCTCTCCTTTTGGGGTTGCGGGCGACCCCGACGCGGTGGCGCCGTGCGGCTGTCCCGAGGTGACGTCGGGGGCTCTGCGGAGGTGCTCGGAGGCCTCGGAGGTCTGCGGGGGGCGCCGGGGGCACGGCGCGGCTCCCATCAGCCGCGCCTCTTCGCCCGGCGTTCGGGGGGTGCCCGGCGCGTCCCGAGCGCAGCCGCCCTGCAGCCCAGGTGCAGTCGGGACCCTGAAGAAGGAACCCTCTTCGTTGGGGAGGGGCTCCGCGTTCCTTAAGTGCTTCACAGCTTGGCTGAGGCGTTCCTTATGTTCTCGGCAGGAAATCGAAGGTCAACTTACGGAAAAAGGGGCCTCGTTCCTTATTCAGGGTTCCTTAGGTCAACGCCCCGACTGTATGACCTGGAGGCCGCAAGGTCCCTCGCGAGATCTCCGGGCGAGATGTACACCTCGACGTTGGCCTCTATGGGTGCCCTCGCGGGGCCCATGGAGTGTGGTGTCAACACAAACGGCCCAGGGCACAGAACGGGACGGGTCCTGGGGAAGAAGTTTAGACCTCGGGGGGGCCATGTCTACCAGCTTGAAACATATCCCCATCCCTATGTTTGACATCACCTCCCCTCGATGCCGATCTTAAGGATTCCCTCAGTCTCTGAGGGCATATCCCTAAGATTGTCCTCGCTTTTGCTCGCCCATCTTAGGGATAGGGATACCTTCGAGGCTGGTTACATGTGGTGGAACACAGAGCACGGCACGGCATGTCTGAGAACAGGGGGCCATTCCACATGCGCGCAGGGGGATCGAGGACTGAAGGAAGAGGGCCCCCAGAGTGCCCCTGACCTGCCTTCGCGGGCCCGGAAGGTGCCCGAAAGGCACACGCTTCTTCACCCCGTGTTAGGATGCAACTCCTGGTAGATCAAATTCACCATCGGCGCTAGTAGATCTTTGGTCGGACACTGGTCCAACCTGGCTTACTCCCGCATCATCCAGCTGCATCCCGCTTGATCTGGCTTACTCCCACGTAATCTGGCTTAGTCATGGGCCCCCTCGGGCTTTGTCTGGCTCCATGGCCCCTCTACCAGGCTGAACAACCCTTGATCGCTTCGACGAAGACCTCCCAGAAGTGGCCTCTCGACGAACAGAGCACGCTGCTGCACCCCGCGCTTACTGCCCATCGCAAAAGAACACCCCAACTGTATCTTTTTGTTTTTGTCTGCCGCGCTCGCCGGCAGGAGGCGGGCATCGCGGGCGCACTGCGGGCGCGCGGAGCGCGCCCAGAAAAGCAGGCCGAGGAACAACAAACTGCATGGACACAGGTTTTCGGAGCTCCGCGCGGACTTCTTGGATCGGCGCTGGGCAAAGATACTGATAGAGTTGCCGCTGCTCGTTCTGGAGATCCCTCGTCGCCACAGCTGGATTATCCCCGAGATTCTGGACAACGGACCAGGAATGGTCCGTAGAGTAGCGGTATGGGTATATGTAGGTTTCCCTAGCTGTGGCTCCGTTTCGACGAAGTGACGACTACATCAACATAAATTGTCGGTGTTCCGCACGGATTTCTTGGATCGTCGCTAGGCTCACAGAAAACAGCAAATTCGCTTCCCCAGATCTCCGACGATGCGTTTTCGTTCAATCAGTTGTTCCCCCCCCGGTTTCGACCTCTGGGTGCCTTTTCTGGGCCCCAGGTTCTGGGCCCCAGATCAAGCATGGTCCGGGACGCAAGGTTGCACTGGGGGAGTGGATGGGGACCTCTCTCGCCGCGCATTGAAAAAATCAAGTCGGGAGTTCGGGGAACAAGAAAGAAGCGGCAGAAGCAAGAAGCGGCATACAGTGCACGTGTCCGTAGCCATTTTGGTTCAAGCCTCCCAGGCGGCAGGCGCATCAGCAGGCGCGGCACGGGGCAGTCGGAGTCCACCGCGCGACACCCAGCGGGCCCGGCATGGGGCAGTCGGCGCCGCCCCGCACCGCGGAGCCACTGCCCGCTTGGACCCCCCTGGACAGTCCAGTGCGCACGCTGGCAGGCAGCGGCACGCGGACGGGCAGGGCCTGGCGGCCAGCTTCGCTCATCCGCATGGGTTGGCGGTGGACGGCGCGGGCAATGCGTTCGTGGCTGACACGTGGAACCACCGCATCCGGACATGTTATTCAGAAGGTGTTTTCGCACGTCCAGCACTCATTGCTCACCTCCATAGTTTGCACTGGTACAGAGCAGGCCGCTGTTTTTCCTCGGTTGAAGCATGCGAATTACATTCGGGAGGGTCTAGTTCAAGAATTTGGAATCGATTGCGCGGGCATCTCTCAGGCACGAGGGCTTCGTGGCATTCGCCGGGCAGGAGTTGCGCGAGTGTGAAATTCGACAGCAATGCCCACGGAACAGGTTCGTCTAGAGCAGCCGCTGCGTATGAGGTACATTTGAAGCTTTAGCCGAAATGCGAAGATTACGGTGTCTACCTGCATTACTCCAGCTCATGTAACAAAACGCGGTGCAGGGAACAGAGAGCGGGGCGTCGCTGCCACGGTGAATGCGGAAATCTCACGAGTAAGCCAAGCGAGGATTCATGCTGGGCATTATCCTTCCGTTGGCACTTGTCTTTGATTTCAGGTTGGGGTATCATGCTGCAAACCGTTGAGCGGATGGGGTCCTAGGTGAAGGCCAGCAGGCGGAGGCTGACATGGCGGCATCGCTGCGGATCGCAATCGTGCAGTGCCGGTATGCTGAGGACCGCTGCGCTTTCATGTTCAAGGTGCTCTGCTAAAGACAATTCACAGGAGGCTGCGATGATGCGGCTGTTGGAGCGTTGGGCCACCACGTCGTCGTTTTCGTGCTCCGGGGCGAAAAAAGAAACGGCATAAGCATATTGTTCTGGAATTCCGTGCGGATCCCTTGGACCGACGAGCTCCCTTGGCGGTGCCTCCAGCGCAGTCCCTGGCGCGCTCGGCGATCCAACGCCGATACAGGAAATGTGCGCGAAACTCCGTAAGTTTCTGTTTATGTTGTTGTTGCTGTCTTCTTGTAGTTTCTAGTCGGGGGAGCAGGAGAATCTGGGGGAGAGCAGATAACTTCGACGCTTTAAAGGTGACATGAGCTGGCTGCTATAGTCTCGTTTTGTGTGTTGGGATGATTCGTAATTCTAGGAGTCTCTACGGGAATGAGCCAGGTGGAGGGGGGGAATGGGAGCGAGGAGGAGGACGATGTTGTGGATGATAAAGACGGGGAGGAGGGCGAGGTGGAGGAAACGGTGGATGATGAAGACGGCGAGGAGGGCGAGGTGGAAGAAACCGAGGAGGAGGAGGAGCAACAGGAGGAGGAGGAGGAGGAGGAGGAGGAGGGGGGGGGGGATGGGGAGGGCCATGAAGAGACCGATTCGGCAGAGAGGTGGGAGGACGACGCAGGGGAGCAGGAGGAGGCGGGAGGACGATCCGGAGGAACCAGAGGAGAAGGAGGAGGAGGAGGAGGAAGACCAGCGTAAACCCAAAAGTCACCAAAGATGTTGGAATGAACCCTTCCTCCAAGCAACCTTTCCACAGGCCCCTACAACTGTTCATTTCCATTGAGGGAACTGCCTCGTTGGAAGACAACCGTTCGAAGATCCTGAAGTATGCCAAAGACTTGTTCTCCGGATGCCAACGCCACGGATGAGCCTGACTGCTGCGTCTTGCCGATCTGGAATCGTGCCAGATCGCCATTTGTGATACTTCAACACCGCGAATCAGCATAACTGCTGCACCCGCATGGTCCAGAATCCTTCCAAAACACAATTTCTGGTACGGTGATCATGGTAATCCGTGACATAATTTTATGAACGAATCTGCGCGGCGCTTAGGCGAGAGCCACATTTTGAAATCCACCCGCCCTCAATCCGTGAAGTTCTTGCACATGTTTTTTTCACAACGACAGAAAAGGTGTGTGCGCGGCGCTAAGGCGAGAGCCACATTTTGAAAACCACCCGCCCTCAATCCGTGAAGCTTTTGCATTGTAAAACGAACGTGCGCCGCGCTCAGGCGAGAGCCACATTTTGAAAACCACCCGCCCTCAATCCGTGAAACCTTTTGCAATGTTGAAAACAACGAATGTGCGCGGCGCTAAGGCGAGAGCCACAGTTTGAAAACCACTCGCCTTCAAGCCGTGAAGCTCTTGCGAGAGCCACATTTTGAAAACCACCCGCCCTCAATCCATGGACCGCTTGCAATGTTGAAAAAAGAACGAATGTGCGCCGCGCTCAGGCGAGAGCCACAGTTTAAGAGCCACTCGCCCTCAATCCGTGAAAGTCTTCCAAATTGTTAACTTGAGTGTGCGCGGTGCTGAGGCGAGGGCCACATCTTGAAAACCACCCGCCCTCCATCTGTGAAACTGCTGCCACGTATTAAGTTTCAGAGTCAGGAACGGTGAGGAAGTCTCAGGCGGAATGCCCGGCCCGCCCTAAAAACTGGCTGGCCCCGGGTGTGCGAAAGGGAGAAGGTATGTACGAGGAAAGGGAATGCAGAAGGAGGAGGAGGAGGAGGAGGAGCAGCAGGAGAGGAGGAGGAGGAGGAGGAGGAGGAGCAGGAGCAGGAGCAGGAGCAGGAGCAGGAGTAGGAGGACGAGGAGAAAATGGAGGAGCAGGACGGGTAAGACGAGGAGGAGGAGGAGGAGGAGGAGCAGAACGAGGAAAAGGAGGAGGAGGAGGAGAAGTAGGAGATGGAGAATAAAAATGACCTGTGTCGCTCCGAGGATTCCGAATACGCGGGGATATGCTCTAGAAGACGCGCCTTCGCGGCCTCTTCCTCACCCTCCCCTCCCCTCACTCGCTTCCCCTCGGCCTCCATCGCCATCGCCCTCATCCTCCTGGCACCAGGGGAGGAGAAGGAGGAGAGGGAGTTGGGCGGGGAGGAGGAGGAGGATAAGGCGAGATGATGCTGGAGGAGGCGACCACAGGGGACAGCGCCAAAGCGTGAGGAGGGAGCATGCACCCTCTCGGAGGCCTGGCCCCAGTGGAGGGGCCGGCGGCAGCCACCTCGGCCAGGGAGCGCGCACCCTCGGGCTGTGGGGGCGGGCCCCTCCTCGTCCTCCTCCTCCTCCTCCTCCTCCTCCTCCTCGTCCTGCTCCTCCTCCTCCTCCTCCTCCTCCTCGTCCTCCTCCTCCTCCTCCTCGTCCTCCTCCTCCGGTCAGTGGGCTCCGCCCACCTGGGCGACGCACAGAACCGGAGTCGTCTGCGCCGTCATCGGCGCGCAGGTTGCTCGCGCAAGATCGCGCGTGAGCACCCTCGCTTCCAGCGTGACGTACCTCGCTGGCGACCTTGCGTAAGCCACAGGGTCGGGTCGCAGTGCCATCTTGCGTAAGACCCGTTTTGGATGGTCGCCCACTCAGCAGCCCGACTACACCCATCAGAAGTCTTAAGACAATTCAAAGCATAAGCTTTCCTGGGCCCCAGGTTTCGATGCAGGAAAAATAGGATCTGGACTGGTCTCTGGGCGTTTTCTGGGTGCTTGTTTTTTGAATGTTCAGAGAACTAGACCTGGACAGCTGCTTGAGAAAAGGCTTGGACATTGAGATTATTTTCTTAGCTTAAAATCTTCTTCACTCCAAGTCAGGGTGCAGTTGCCCCCGCATGCCGCCTAGGGCATCTGTAACCCACTTCTAATCCAGATTCTTCCAGACGTAACCTATTCGCTTAGCAACTCCCGCGCCGATCCCCCCCCCCCGAAAGGCACGCGCGCAAGAGCCTCTCCGCTCGATCTTCGCCTGCCGCTGGCGCGAGGCCGAGCGGCAAGTTTAGGCCCTCTGGGGAGGCTCCCTCTCGCAGGCCCCTGGGGCCGAACTGCTCCCGGGTGCGCCGCGTGCGTCTTCCCCGACACGAGTCGCTGCTCTGGAGGGGCGAGTAGTGCCACTGTCTCATCCCGCCCCGTGAAGGGTAGCGGAGGAGGAGGAGGAGGAGGAGGAGGAGTCGGCTAAGAAGGAGGATCCTGAGATCTCGAAGTCACATTTCTCAACGACGGGCGTTTTCGCCCCGTTTCGGGCCATCATAGCTCGGCCTGGCTTGAAACAGAGGAGGAGGAGGAGAAGGAGGAGGAAAAGGATGAGGAGGAGTAAAAGGATGAGGAGAAGGAGTAAAAGGATGAGGAGAAGGAGGAGGAGGAGGAGAGGAGGAGGAGGAGGAGGAGAGGAGGAGAAGCAGGAGGAGGAAAAGGACGATGAGGAGGAGGAGGAGGAGAAGGAGGAGAAGCAGGAGGATGAGTGACCACTCTGCTGCGAGCGTCGCGACGCCCGCGGGGGGAGCCGCGCACTCCAGGTCCCTCTTATCTTCCCGCCAGCTAACACCGCAAGAGACTCGCGGGGTGCCCTCGCATATGGTCCAATATTTTGCGGCAGCGTGGTGGCCTGCAAACGGGGGGCAGCATATGACCACCCACCGTTCGCCCCGGTCAAAAAACAATGTAAAATGATCGCGGGGCACCCGAGGATGATCCGGATTTCGCCGCAGATTGCATGCGCATTGTTTTTGACAGGAATGGTGGGGGGCGGTTAGGCGTTAGCCCTGGATATGAGCCGGTCGAGTCGGGGAGGAAGTGCATATTTGGGAATAGGGAATAGGGAAGAGCAAAGTCGTTGTATTATTTGTGCCCAGAGGGCTTGCGGGATTATGGCCGACTCTTGTATACGACGCAGATTCGTGACGCGGATTCGATGGTCGATACGGATTCGACGCAGGCCCCGGTACATGCAGCATAGGCGCATCAAGAAGAAATCGGCCTGCCAGTGGATGCCCCTCGGAAATTTACATTCCCCCGATGGCCTAAGAGACCAATAGAAGCCTTTGCCCACGTCGCAGAGGACCATGATATATCGACGGAGAATTTGCCACATGATTTCTTTTAACAAGGTTCCTTATCGCATGTGTCTGCTGTAGGCCCTGCGGCAGAATGCTCCGCCAAGCTCGCCATGTTCTGGTGTCACGGTGTTCGTAGCCCAGCTAATGCCGTATTTCCGAGGGCGCATTCTTGTTCCCACCATCATTATGAAACATCATGATCATCCACCGCCGACAGGCTACCTGCAGCGAGGACATACCACCATCATCATCATCATCAGCATCATCATCATCATCATCCTCATCAGCATCATCAGCATCATCATCATCCCTCTCCTTCTCATCGCCGTCATCATCATCAGCATCATCGTCATCACCACCATCCATCATCATAATCATAATCATCAGCATCATCACCATCAGCATCATCATCTTCATCGTCGTTGTCATCATCATTACCAGCATCATCAGCAGCATCATCATCGTCATCGTCAGCATCATCTCGATTACCATCACCACCACCACCACAATCTCCATCATTACCATCGGCATCGTCATCTGCATCATCATCATCCTCATCTCCATCCTCAATCCTCAATCTCACATGATCATCCTCATCCGCATCTTCTCATATTCTCATCCTCATACTCACCCTCGTCCTCGCATTGTCCTCATCCTCATCCTCATCCTCCTCCTCATCGCCATCATCATCGCCCATCGCCATCCCCACAATCCTGTTCCTGCTGCTCCCTCCTCCTCCTCCTCCTCCTCCTCCCTCCTCCTCCTCCTCCTCCTCCCTCCTCCTCCTCCTCCTCCTCCTCCTCCTCCTCCTCCTCCTCCTCGTCCTCCTCCTCGTCCTCCTCCTCCTCGTCCTCCTCCTCCTCGTCCTCCTCCTCCTCCTCCTCTTTCTCCCCTGCCTGCCCCCTCCCCTCCTCTGCCTCCTCCTCCCCCCCTCTGCCTCTGCCCCTGCCCCTGCCCCTCCCTCCCCCCCCGTGGGCTCGCCCTCGCTGCCCCCGCTCCTCCGCCGCGGGCGCCCCCCTCCCCGTGGTGCCCGCCGCCTCGGCCCGAGGCGCTCGCCGCCGCGCTCGTCGGCGGCGCCATGGGGGCCGCGCGCGGCGCTGGGGCCGCGGAGGGGCGCGGGGCCGCCGCGCTGCTGAAATCGCCGGGGGCGGCCTCGGAGGGACCCGCGGGGGGGAGGTCGATGAAGACACCGCGCGGATTCCCTGGATCCGCGCTGGGCCCCCCAGGGCGGCGCCTCCGGCGCAGCCCCCTGGCGCGCTCCGCGCGCCAGCGAGGGGTGGTCGGGCCTTTCGCGGCGCGCCGGGGAGGGAGAGACCGGCGAGGGGGGGGGAGGTCCGGCCCCGCGGGGGGAGGTCCGAGGGAGGAGGGGGGGAGGGAGCGCGAGAGAGCGAGCGGGGCTTACTTGTGACGAGTGGCGCCGGTTCCCCGGTGTCGAGCGGTGCACTGGGGCCCCTGCAGCCTCCCCGGCTGGAGCCTCCCCCTCTGGGAGTCGTGGCTGGTGGAGGTTTTCATGAACAGGCCGCATGTGGCGGGCCACGGGGTGTTTGGGGGGTGCGGCATTGGCGCGTTCCCGCTGGCATGAATGAGTGAATGACGAAAAGTGCCCGCGGGTTTTGTTGCTGTTGCGTCCTTCTTCCGCTCTGTTGATCCGAACAATGGCGTCGTGAAATCGGCACCCTGGAATGTGGGCGTCGGGCAGTCGGTATAGATTGTGAGACCTGAAGGCGCGTGCGGATGGAGAACGGAAAGAAAAGAGTTCGTAGGCCACGGGCCGATCCTGGACAGCAAATAGGAACACCCCTGCGCGTTTGAATTATTTCGGGGCGGGGGGGAGGGAGGAGGAGGATAAGGAAAAGGAGGGAGAGTGCCACTTCAAACCCAAGCCATACCAACGATGTTTCAATAAACCCTCCCTCCAAGTTTCTTTTTCAATGAGTCCTCCGAGCAATTCTTTTCATTGCTGGAAGGGCCCCGATGGAAGACAAACGTCTAGTAATCCACAATCGTGCCCAAACAATTCATTTGATCCCAACGCCGCGAATCAACTTTACAGTTGCGTCTTGACAGTCTTGAACCGCGCCATAACCTCGGACGTCAACCATCATACTGTAATGTTTCCAGTTGCTTTTCCCACACATTAAAATGAAACATATAATGTGCACGGCGCTCAGGCGAGAGCCGCGTTTGGAACAAAACACCACCTTCCATCAGTGAGTCTCTGTAATATGTTAAAACGTATGTGTGCTGCGCTAAGGCGAGTACCATATGGTGCCCCCCACCCCCGGCCCCCGCCCTTCGTTAATGAAAGTATTCCACACTTTAACGCAACTGTGACTGTGCGCGACGCCAGGGCGTTCGCCACATTTTGAAAATGAGCCGCCCTCCATCCGTGAATCTTGTGCAATCTTGCACATCGAATATGATCGGCGCTGAGGCGACGACCCGCCTTCCATCCGTGAAGGCCAGGCAAAGTTTGAAACGGACGTGCGCGGCGCTACGGCGAGAACCGCGCGTTGGAAAGGAACCGCCCTCCATCCGTGAAGCCTTTTGCAAGCGTTCAAGATTTAAGACGAATGTGCACGCCGATGAGGCGAAAGCCACATTTTGGAAACGAGCCGCCCTCCAAGTGTGAAATTGCCGCAAACGCTCAGGCAGAATATGCCCAGCGCTCGGGCAAGAGCCACACTTTGAAATCGACCCGCCCTTCTGCCGTCAAGCTCCTCAACCCTCTTGAAATAGATGCGCCCGGCGCTCAATCGAAAATCGCATTTTGGAGAGTAGCCGCCCTCCATCTGTGAAGCTTTCGCAAACCTGTATAGGGAATGTTTTCGGCGCGGAGGCGAAGCCCACGTGTGTAACGCAACCCGCCCTCCACCCGTGAAGCGCGGCCCGCCCTTCACGCGTGAAACTGCTGCAGATCTGCAGCCTCAGGATCTTTCCGGACGTCGCAGGCCAAAACGCCTGGCCCGCCCTGCCGACCATTTTCCGTGCGCGACAGGAAGGAGCCATTTAACAGGGAAGGGATGGAGGAGGAGGAGGAGGAGGAGGAGCAGGAGGAGGAGGAGAAGGACCAGCGCATCTGACTGACGGGTTCGGGTGTCTCTACTTCTCTGCCTTGGCTGCTTGCGTAGGCCCAGGATTTCGCTTCGAAGCGGTGGGCCCGCGAACCACCCCCAGAAGTGCCAATCTAAGAACAACGCTCAGAGTGGAATCGTTAGACCGCCGGAGATCTGGGAGCGCAGGCGCGTCCCTGCCGCCCCCGCATTCGTACTATCTCTCTTGAGTTATTTTGTTGGTGTGTCTCTCTCGCTTTCTTTTTCTGGTGTTCGTCTTCCTGCCGCGTGACTCGCTGCCCCCGGTTATCAGATACATTGGTCTGTTCTATGCGGGGCGCCGATCGTCCCGACCCTTACCCCGGGGCTGGCTTCTCATCCCCAGTTTTTTGTTGACGGGGCCGAGGCTTGGCCAGGGCCCGTGGAGGCTGGTGTCGCGATTTCTCCTCAACGCCAGCGCGTCTAGGAGCAGAAGGAGTTGTTCGAGCACAGCTCGGCCAGGGAAGGGCCCTCTCAGAGCCACCCCCGGCGCCCTCCGCGGCGTTGGCGCTGGGCCTGCTGTGGGCGCGGGCGGGCCAGGCTTCCGCCGTGGCGGGGGCGACGCCGCAGTGGACCCACTGCGAGCCGCCCGGAGCCGGAAGAGAGGCTGCGGCCCTCTGGCGGGGCCCCGGGCGGAAGGAGTTGGCGATATTCGGGGTGGATGCGTCCTCCCCTTGATGCAGCCACGACGCTGAAGTGAGGGCAGATATTCCTGAGGTTCTTCCGCGGCTGCCCTGAGCCCTCCTCTTGCACCCGGGCCCTCCGCAGTTCCCCCCCCCCCCCCCCCAGGCGTTGCCCCCGAAGGGGCTCGTCCTGGCGGGCACGCGCCGCCCGCCACGTGCTACACGTGGCCAGCACTGTTCGGCGGCGAAGTCTAAAAGTCGGGGGTGGACAGACCTCTTACCCTGACACGTCGATCAAGGAATTGGCCGTTCTCGGTTTGCCAGGGGGCGCCGCGACCGCCATTTCTGCTGGTCCAGGTCCGTCGGTGTCGGTCCCAGGCCGTTTTCACTGAGGGAGAGGTCTACTAAAGGGAGGTTTGTCCACCGCGGGGAGGTCTACTAAGGGGAGGTCTACTAAGGGGAGGTCTACGAAAGGGAGGTCTACGAAAGGGAGGTCTACGAAAGGGAGTTCTACTAAGGGGAGGTCTACTAAGGGGAGGTCTGCTAAAGGTCACCGCCGAGAAAACCCGACCTTCGCAGACCAGCGATTCGGGCAACAAATCGAGGGGCGGTGGGCGCAGGGCTCGGCGTTCGCCGAGCGTACGCGGCGAGATCCCGGCCCTGCCTCCGCCTCCCACGGGCTCGGGAGAAGCGACGGTTGGCACAGTCGGGGCCCTGAAGAGGGAACCCTTTTCGTTGGGGAGGGGCTCGGTGTTCCTTGATTGTTGTGCGATGTGCCTCAGGATCTCCTACGGTTTTCCATCGGAACTCGAAGTTCAACTTTTGGGAAAAAGGGACCTCGTTCCTTCTTCAGGGTTCCTTAGGGCAACGCCCCGACTGTAGGGGCATGGTTCGGAGGTCGCCACCGAGCTGAGAGCAGCGGCGCGAGCCTCCAGCGGCGCCATGGGGGCTCAGAAGTCCACGGCTCGCCAGGAGGGGAAGTGAGAAGGGAGAGGTTTTCTCAGAGGGCGGCGGGGCTTCTGATGCGCTCTCGCGCCTCTGTGAGACGTGTTTGGCTTCTGCGGGGAAGGCTTGGAAGACTTCTCGGCGAGAGGCTCTGGGAGGCTTCTGAGGAGGCCTACCCGGTTTGACTTCTCCCACCCACGGCTCGCCGCTAAGCTAAGCAGGTCCTTTCCCATGTGAACTGGGTTCGCTGTCGGCGGCGCTGCGCACGTATTCCGTTTCAGTCAGAGCGCCGCCCGGCCGAGCAGCGGCCGCCGTGGGGTCTGGGCAACAGGTGTTGCTCGGCGTCGGGCCCCTTCTTTAACTTCCCATCTCGAGCGTTCAGATGCCCGCACCGTGGAAAGGAATGCGACGGGAGGGTTTGGTGTTCGAAGGGGAGTCTTGCGGGGATGCAGAAGTGGCCCTGGGCAAGGGGTCGGGTCTTCCGGGGGCCCCGCTTTAAACGCAGCGGGCGTCAGCATTCGCGGGGGTGGGCCGATCACCTCCATTATCTTCCCTCCTCGCCTCCTCAGTCCCCCTGCTTCGTCTCGGCGCCTGAGTCCGCATCCCCCGCGTCATGCTGCTCCTTGTCGCCCCCGGGAGCCTCAAGGGGCCACGACCCAGAGGGCCGGCCGAGCTTCCGGCCCCGAGCCGTCCCGCGAACCATAGCGCCCTTGGCCACCGGGGGGTGCCTAAGAAGCTCTGGTCCTTCTGGAGCGACCCGGACTCGGCCAGACTGCCGAAGATCTGCCAGTTGGCCGCGGCGTCGTGGCAGGTGTACGCGTCGGGCTACGAGATCCACCTCCTGCACGCCGAGAACTGGAACGAGTTTCTGACGGACGCCCAGATCCTCCGGGGCCACGGGCCGGGAGCGGGCGTCACGGCCACCACTCGAGACAACCGCTTCGCCGATTGGCTCCGGGCGGTCCTGCTGGCGGAGCTCGGCGGGGCCTGGATCTCAGATCAAGGCCTTGCCAGGCCGCTGGCACGGCCGTTGCGCCGATCGGTCGTCAGCTGGGCCATCGGTTGGAACCTCGATCGGTGAATGTCCCGCGGTTCGAAGCAGATCGGGCCGATTGGATTGGGAATCTCAGCGTGCCGTGGATCACCCCTGAGTGGGAGAGGGAGGGGGGAGATGGGAGGAGTCAGGAGGAGAAGGAGGAGGAGGGAGGAGTGAGAAAAGAAAGGAGGAGGAGCGGGATAGGGAGAGAGGAGGAGTTGAAGAAGGAGCGAGCGTGGGTAGAGGGGGGAGATGTGGATGATGAGGAGAAGGATGAGGACCAGAGTATCCGAGCGCCCCCCATAAGAAAGCATCTTCTCTGTTGTGGTCTGAGAGTTGACTATGCTAGGCCATGACAGAGTTGGTCGGGGGAGAGGGGTGGCGAGGCCGAACTTCATCATCGCCCGGGCAAGTGCGAATCGAAGCTGCGTACTTTTCATGTTAAGTAGCATATCGTACATCATACAACTACAGCTACTACAACAACAACAACAACAACAACTACTACTACTACTACGACTACTACTCCTACTACCACCACTACTACTACTACTACTACTACTACTACTACTACTACTACTACTACTCCTGCTACTACTACTACTACTACTACTACTACTACTACTACTACTACTACTACTGCCACCACCACGACTACGACTACGACTACGACTATTACTACTACTACTACTACTACTACTACTACTACTACTACTACTACTATTACTACTACTACTACTACTACTACTACTACTACTACTACGACTACTACTGCGACTGCTACTACTATTAATAATAATACGACCACTACGACTGTTACTACTACTACTACTACTACTACTACTACTACTACTACTACTACGACTGTTACTCTGACTACTACTACTACTACTGCTACTACTACTGCTATTACAACTATTACCACCATTACTACTACTACTACTACTACTACTCCTACTACTACTACTACTACTACTACTACTAGTACTACTACTACTACTACTACTACTACTACTACTACTACGATTACTAAGTACCACTACTACGACTACTACTGCTACTACTATGACTACTACTGCTACTACTCCTACTACTACTACTACTACTACTAGTACTACTACTATTACTATTACTACTACTGCGACTGTGACGATGACTACTGCTATTTCTTCTTCTATCACGACTACAACTACTACCACTAGTCTCCTACTACGATTACTATCATGATCACTCACATCACGATGGCGACCACTGCTATTATAATTATCTTTCGCATTCGCATCACGACTACTATCAGTACAATTTTTACATTTACCGCTGCTGTCACCACGTCGACGCTCGCTATTACTACGACCATGGTTACTACTAGTGTTATTTCTACGACTATTACTATTACTATCTGTTTTTTACTACGACGACTACTACTACTACTGCTACATCTCTTTGGACTGATCGTTTTACTGTTACATCTACTTCGACGACGGCGGCGGCTATCATTATCGCTATTGCTCCACAACTGCTACTACTACTATGAACAACTACGGCTACGACCACGATGATTAGCACTACCACTCCTAGTACCACTACTACTACTACCTCTATTGCCATTAACTACTACTACAAGCGCTACTACGATTATTATTTCTACTGCGACCACTACGATTACTAGCACCACTACTACTACTACTACTACTACTACTACTACTACTACTTCTACTACTACTACTACTACGACTACTACTACTACTCCGTCCACTATGACCACCACGACTACTATTATCATGGGTATTGCTTGTGCGATTTCCAATACGGATACCACGGCGACGGCGACTACCATGACTATTACCTCTACTACTGCTACTACTTCTACCACTGCTACTACTGCTACTACGTATACGTACTATGTCCCACTACTGCTACTATTGCTACTACTACTGCTAGAACTACTACTACTACTACTACTACTACTACTACTACTACTACTACTGCTACTACTAGTACTGCTACGGCTGCGGCAACTGTCATTAGCATCGCTACCACCACGACTACGACTACCACTTCTAGGACCATTGTGCCTACGACGACGGCCACTAACACTACGACTGCGACTGCTACCTCTATTGATACTAGTCTTACGACTGTCACTAGTACGGTTATTACTACTACTACGACTACTACTACTACTACTACTACTACTACTGCGTTTACCTTTACTATCACGGCTTTTGTTACCAGCATTGCGAATGCTACTGTTACTACGACTGCCACTACTACTTTTATTACCAGTCCGACTGCGGGGATGTTTATCACACCTCCTGCTACTTTTATAACTGTTCCTACGATTTTGATTCTAACCATCATACTTCTGCTCCTACTACTACTACTACCACTACTACTACTACCACTACTACTACTACTACTACTTCCACCACGACGACGACGGATACTACTACTACTACTACTACTACTACTTCTGCTACTGCTACTGCTACTACTACTACTACTAGCGCTACGACTTCTTTTACGAGTACCCCTACTACTCCTACTACGATCACTACTCGTACTACTACTACTACTACTACTCCTACTACTACTACTACTACGATTGCCCTTACAACTATTGCAACTACTACTACTACCACCACTACTACTACTACTACTACCACG